CCAGGAACAGACTTCTAACTATGATCGCAAGGGCTGTGTGAAATTTTGACAGGTGTTTTGTTTCAAAGCTGTTTCGACATGTTTTGAGCTTAAAACAGTGAAATTAAAATGAAACGAAAGGCTTCGAAACAGCTTCAAAATGAAACGAGGGCACTCAAAGCTGGGCTTGCTTCCAGCTAAACAGAAACTAAGGAGAGGGTGGTGGAAGAGGTCAGAAGGACGGCACCAATACTGACATCTAGTGTCTGGTTCAATTCCCCAGCTCCCCGATCTTTCCCCCAGCTCTCCCTGGGGGCACAGGCCCCTGGATGATGTAGGATGACAGCAGGCTGCCGCTGCCAGCTGGGGATGGTGGTGGCTCTGGGTTATTTCCCCAGCCTCCAGCAGCCTGGTGTAACCCTGCGTGCAGATCTGGGGGTCACGCCCACCCTGGGAAGAGCTGGGGGAATGATCAGAGAACCAGGAGGTCCAGGTGGCGGGGGAGGGGGGGAGGGTGATCCCCACTGCCCTGCGCTACATGGTGGGGAGGGGCTCTGCCATGAGCACCCAAAGGTCCTAGTCGCCAGAGCCGGTAAGTGTGGGGCTTTAAAAAAAAAATTTTTTTTTTTAAAGCTCCGCGCACTGGCTGCGGAGCATGCGGATGACAGCAGGCTGCTGCTGCCAGCTGGGGCCAGTGCCAGCACCTGAGTCTGCCTGACACAGCCTGCACCGAGTGCCGGGAAGAACCCAGTGCTGATGCTGGCTCTAGTTGGCAGCAGCAGCCTGATGTCATTCCACATGCAGATCTGAGGACCCATTTCCTGGGAGGGCTACAGGGCTGTGCCAGACTCCTGGAGGGAACGGGCCCCTGGATCTGCGTGCAGGATGACAGTATGCTGCTGCTACGGGCAAGTAATACTAGTTTTGCTTTGAACAATTTGAGGTGAAGTTTCACAAAAACCCCTACACCTATCTCTTTGAAACTTGTCAGGCTTCATGGCCTCAAAAGGGGCTACCAATCCAGCAAGTTTTATCTGAATCAGACAAGAAATGGCAAAGTTATAGGCATTTTCATGATTCCCCATTTTAGCCTACGGGCAAAACGGAACAGAACAGTGCTTCGAAACAGTGAAGTGAAACACTCCCTTTGAAATGGCGAAATGCAAGTCGAAACGAAACAGTGCTGTTTTGCACAGCCCTGATCACCCCATCGCAAGTAACTAGTTGCTAGGAAGAAGTATTATTTTTGTCAAACAAAAGTACTGCGCAATGTAAATATGACCTGCTAAGACCTTTCCTATTCTTTGACTTTACTAAAATCTCCGATGAGCTAAATATTATAGGGGTTTTACCGTCACTTGTGTGGTTCTGTTTTATAAGAACGTAGCTCATACTCTATATGAAATTCTCTATAAAACATTTTTTTTTATCAACTTTGAATGACATCCTTTCACCTCAGCATGGGTTTGTTACAGAACTCATTATCACCCTGTTTAATAGAGCCACAAAGCCTAGATCTGAACTTATGGTTCAGGCCTTTTATTTTAAATGAACACGACATCTGAATTAAATGAGCATGCAGATTGAGCCAAGATCAGTGTTAATGCATGCCAAACTACCCAGACATAAGAAAATATTGCCACACATCTCCCATGGGAAGTAAAATGACTCACTCATTACCTGTGAAGCTTCAGGTATCCAAGACATCACACTTTTGTTTTTTAAAGGAACACAACATTTTTCAAGGAGATTTATTTCAAACTAGTGTTATTTTTAAACTAAACAAGATTGATTGATCAAACCCTTTTGAATCCTTGATTCAGCCTGACTTCTCACTCCAAACTTTGCTTTTCAAGAAACAAGAGCCTCTTCCATTACCAGGGATCCTTTAGAAATGAATTCCATCCAACACCCATGCTTCCCTCCAGTCAGTTAAAAAAGAACAAAAGATTCCCCATGTACTTAATAGTGAAACGTTTGCACATACACAAAGACACATATTTAAATGCATAGTCATGAAGGGCCTGATCCAAAGCCAACTGAAGCCAGTAAAAGTCATCTAATTGACTTAAATGGACTCTGGAGCAGGCTCGAATAGTATACATTATTGACGGAGAGACTGGGATTTTCTAGGGCAGTGTTTCCCAAACCTGGGGGGAGGAGGAGGGAAAGCAAGTCCAAGCAAATCATGGCAGCAACTGGTGGACCCCTCTATTTCAGCCCCAACCCTTTCCTCCTGATTGCTGAGGGGAATTGGCAGCCATCTGTGGCAGAGGAAATTGGCTGCAATGGGAAGAGAAGGCAGAGGCATAAGTAGGAGGGGCATCAGTGCCTTACTTTATTATGGTAGGGCAACAACCTATCAGGTTTGGGAAACAGTGTTTTAGAGCATTAACATTTTATCTTCAAAAGAGAAGCTTGAGCCACCCAAATATATTTCCTAGTAATATTCAAAAAATCGTTTCCTTTGCAAACACCAAATTAAGTTTACACATGAAACTAGACAGCAGTTAGGTCCTATAAATGTTTACAAGTTTCAGCCCATCTTATGTGGAGTAGTAATGAGAAGTAGAAAAGCTGGAATGTGTGAATGTGGCATAGCTAGGGATGTGGAAACTCTTACCTTGTTGGGGTGGGGAAGGAGTGTAAGTAGAAGGATGACTCAGAAAGGAGGTAAGGTCATTTTAGATAGAGGGGGCTTTAAAAAAAAGTGTAGGAAGTAAGTAGGTACAAAAATCCAATTATCTAAAAGCTAACTAGATCTCTACCTGGTGGAGACGGATCTTCTACTTGGAGGGACAAGCTGTGAGTGCAAAATGCACCTCACTGCAGGGAAGGCAGGTCAATTGGCATACAGTTATTGAAGTTCATCATTTAAAAGGGTGGATTGATTAGCAGCTCAGGAAAGCCAATGACAGAAAATATGGTCCATCCCAGAAACACATTCCTTAGAGTACTTCAATGATTACCAAATATATTTAGTTTATGTCCAGTTGAATGATTAGCTAGCAGCTTCACACATTTGGACACACTTTGTTATTCTGTATTTTGCTTTCAATCTTATTTTAAACATAAAATTAAAGTCACTGCTATTATTTTATCTAAAAATATGCTACTTTTATCAACACACCTTCCTTCTTTGTTATTTGTAAGCATTTTGCAAGCTGATCAAAATAATTCATACAAGTACAAACAAACTAAAAAATAACGAGTTCTAGCCTTGTCTAGGATGATTTAGTTGGGGCTGATGCTGCTTTGAGCAGGGGGTTGCACTAGGTAACCTCCTAAGGTCCCTTCCAATCCTCATTTTCTATGATTCTATGACTGGGAGGGACTTTCTGGGTTGTCAGATATAGCCTGCTAATTTCACAATCACCACATAATCCTATTCATAAGGCAATCAAGCTCTATTTTGAAAGTATTTGAATTTAATTGTTCCTTTTGCCATCTTTGAAAGACTATTACTACTCTTTTTTGTTGCTTGACTTTATCATATTAAGGCAAAGAACATAAGCAAAATCCTGAGGCCCAGTGGCATAATTCCATCTGACATAAATTAGGTCAAGGACACCACATGCCTACTTTTATGTTTGCAGTGACCTTGATTGGTGTTCCTAGGCATTTTAAAAATAAATCTATCAAATTACATTTAGCATCTAATACTAAACTGATTACTGAAGACGCATGCCAAAATGGTCAGGAAAACCAGAAAATACCATATTTACTCAAAGCCAGGACAAGGTTTTTTGCTTCATTTAACATGGGGAAAAAAGCCCCTTGTCTTGGATTTGAGCATGATGCTACAAGGGGAGGGAAGGGGCAGGAGCTGCTGCCTGCCTCCTTGAGTCCCCTATGGTTTTGTTTCCCTTGCAACACCCACCCAACCCTGCCGTTGACCCTTGTTCCATTCTAGCCCTGCCTGTTCCAGCGTGGGATATGGAACTCAGCCCCAGCCAAAGCTGGTAATTGTGGCAGCTCCAGCAAGGCCCCAAAGCTGTCACATAATTGCCACTGCTACCAGCCAGAGGATGGTGCTTTCCAGACCAAGTTTAAGGGAGGGATGGTGGGGAAGAAGTGAATGGAAGAAGAGGTGGTGCTCCAAAGATTAGATTCTGTACATGGAAAATAGAAATTAAATTAAAATGAATTATTGGGGTTCATCTTAAATTCAGGATTGACTGAGATTCAGGTAAATATAATAGAAAAACTGTTAAACCCAAAGTTAATTCTGATATTGGAATAGACAGACGCATCAGAAGTATATTTTTTCTAAATTTAAGTTCACTGCATAATACTATTGGTTTTCACCCACATTAAAAAAGAAAACTTTATTCATCACCATCAACATAATTCTCATATTTACAATAAAATTAGAGTTTTCAAGCTTATCTAACATACCAACATACAAAAGAATATTTACATTTAGGTTGTTCAAGCAATTAGAGCAAACATACTAAAAATGGACTGACTAAAAGTTGTAGGTATATTTTGAGCTGCACTTTTAAAAATGTCTAGTGCTATTGTTTTCTTATCTCCTAGTACCATGTCAGTGTGATTTCTCTAGACTGACACTGATATTTTAGAACAAGTTGACATACTGGCTATCACAAATATACCAATCTGAAAGGGCTGTTTCATTTACTTGTAAATGAAAATATAAAAAAAAAAAGTTTAAAACAATACACCTATTTCTCTAATTGCTTTATTTACAATACACCAGAAATTTAAAACTGAAAATTTAAGTGACATAAAAAGGAACTGCTTAAAGACCAGACATCACTTGTTCCTAAAAGGTTTAAAGCAACGCAAGACATTAATCCGTTGCCTATATACCAGGACAGGAAAAAAAGTAATTTAAAAATAAATATACTATACTATGCACTTTTTCTAAAGCCCAATTACATGTTTTGTTCATTTAAAACATGGTTAGTGTCTGAAAGCTTTGTCAGGAAGCCAAAACGCATCTTTTAAAAAGTTTTTAAAAATGTATAAGAGAAAGTAAAATATTTTCATGTCCTCACTGGAGAGGTAAGTGGTTATTCTAAAACAAATGCATTGCAGGGACAGAAATGACTTGATAAGTCTTTCTTTTTTTAAAAAACCCAAGAAATCCTGCAGGAGAGGATAGTGAAAGTCACCCTGTTCTCTCATGCTCCAAGCTTGCTTGAAATAAGGACAAGTTAAACCTTATTTTTTCTTACAAACTTGAATTAAAAGTTTTTTTGATGTCCTTGATTTCACACCCAATGCAACATTTCCTTCAGAAAGACTTCTAACAAGGTTTCTTTGCACATCTTGTTCTTGTTTCTGGCTTTTCTTCCTAAGAGCTGATGAAAAAAGATGTAACATTAAAAAAAGGATACTCAATTTACAAAACATAAATATTATGTATTTAATTTGTTACATATTAAGGAAGTAAACAGGTTCTACTGTCCTTTCTGTGCATCAGAATCTAGCATTTCATTTTATGTGTATGCACGCACGCACACACACCCCCCCTCCCAAATGAGAAGGGATTTACTCTGCTGAGTAAGTAATGAAAAGTACAAAACTAGTTGCAGAGGCAGAGTGGTTATTAAAAGGAAAAAGTAATGTACACATAGTTACACACACGTTGCTCTATTCTTTACTAAATTTGAAAACATTACAAATACAATAATTAAAGAAATATGATTTACTCAATTTAAAAAAAGAAGAGCTGCAGGTGCTAGGTACTAGTCATCACCTGATTCTTTCCTACAAATGTGGCTTTTTGAAAACGTTTTTTTTTGTTCAAAGCTGAACTCTTTTTTGTGCCAACAATGATGTACTGTTCATTAAGTACATGATACACCTGGAATGTGTATTCTTTAGCTGCTTGAAAGGTGGTTACTTAAGCTTATTTGGGATTACACTCTCTCTCTCTTTTAAGCTTTTCAGGATGTTTAATCATTTGTGGTGACTAAACTGAATAGTTATTTACATGTTTCCTTAATATTGCAATTATAGTAATTGATGTTGATAACCCTTATTACCCAACATTTAATAGTTGCAATTAACATGGAGATACACTGTACACAGTACTAATTATACAGAAGTGTTTTCACCATACTATAAAATTGCAGGAGAAATTGTAGATTACAAAATACTCCTCTGGTCAATTGTATTTAGGAGAATGGTTTTCTCTAGTCTCAGATTTACATTTCCCCAAAAGTAGTAAAATTGCCTTGCTTTTTCATGAATAGACACTAACATCAGTTTTGACTGCTCCCAGCAAGCTCCCCTTGCATAAAGGGAATCCCTGGGTAATGAGAGCTTACATACTATGCTCTGCCTGTGGGAAAAGGCATATGACTAAAGCATGCCATAAACCCGGAGAGAATAGAGTGAATCTGGTCTAAGCTACTAAGGGAACCATCCCACCACTAGAAGAAACTAGGGAATAGGGGAGTGGCTGGATGGAGGGGAGTACCTGTGGTGGAAAACTTCTTCTACATAGCTGGCTTAAAGTTATGCTCATTTCCCCACCCTGCTCCTGAGCTTTGCTTGAGATCAGCTCCTACAGAATCTAGCCCAGAGTTTTCATAGTTGGTAGGGTCAGAAGCAACCTAAGCAGATCATCAAGTCTGACCCCCTGCCATGGGCAGAAAAGGATGCTGGGATCAAACGACCCCAGCTAGCTGATTGTCTAGACTCCTTTTGAAGACCCCAAGGGTAGGGGCGAGCACCATGTCATATTGAATGTAATAGTTTGAATGCTTGTAATAGTTGCCCATTAGCCAGTTTAGACAAAAGGGTGAGGTTCATCTTATCTAGGTTCATTGTTTTACCTGGCCTTACAACAAATGTGCTTAAGGTCTTGGCTCCTCGATCTTATCTCTAAAGGCCTTTAACAAGTTAACCTAAGGACCAGAAAAACGATGCTTAAGCAAATATTCCGAGAGATCAAAACCCTAGAAGCCTTTTGAAAGGGGTTTGTAAAAGAAAGGTCACCGCAGTAGTATGGAAAATCTTCCAAAGCAAAATTTAAGATAAACTAAATAGTCAGTGGACAAATTCTGTTGCGGAAGACAAACTGACCACCTAGCAAAAAAATCTGTTGAGTAAGATCCGAGCCCAAATTTGGGAGTAGTGACAGGTTTGTGTAGGAGGGGCCCAAGATGGCAACTCACCCAATAAAAACTGTAACCTACAGTCCCAATTTGGAGGTAACCTCACTTGCAGAATAACGAAGGAAGAATTGCAAGTGTAGGCTGGATCAGACTGATCACATGAACCACCCTCTCCGTGAAAACAAATTTTTTAGTTCACGCTGAAGCCACGGAGCACCTGAGTGGGACCGAAGGAAGGAGACTTGTTCCTATCACTGCTAAGGCCAGCCCATTAAACTGTACTACTGAGGAATGAAACCATACTTAGGTGTTTGGCTTCTCAGAATTCTAGGATTGTAAGTATAATATAGTAATAACTTTTCTGGGTCAAATTATATAGTTAGTTGTAATTGTTTGAAAGATTTCCCCAGCCAGTGCATCAAATGAATCAGTAAGTTGTGTGGGATCTTCTCTATTCCATAACCCACTAGACACACACTACTTCCCTTGGAAGTTGGTTCCAGCTCCTAGTCGCTCTGACTGTGAAGTAGTGCCTCCTGACGTCTAGCCTGAATCTACTCTCAGTCAGTTTATGGCCGTTATTCCTGGTTATTCCTGGGAGTGCACGGAGGAACAGGGACTCTCCCATTGCCTGCTGGTCCCCCTTGGCAAGTTTGTATGCGGCCACCAGATCCCCTCTCAGCCTTCTTTTGTGGAGGCTGAACAGGTTCAGGTCCTGTAGCCTGTCCTCATAGGGCCTACCGTGTTGGCCCCTGATCATGCGAATGGCTCTCCTCTGGACCCTCTTGATGCTATCCACATCCCTCCTGAAGTGCGGCGCCCAGAACTGGACACAGTACTCCAACTGTGGCCTGACCAATGTCACATAGAAGGGGAGGATCACCTCCTTGGACCTGCTTGTGATACATCTTTGGATGCATGACAAGGTATGGTTAGCCTTTCTTACTGCGTCCCCACATTGGCGGCCCATGTTCATCTTGGAATCAAGTGACTCCAAGATCCTTTGCTGCCTCTGCGCTGACAAGAAGGGAGTTCCCCAGCCTGTAGGTATGCTGTTGGTTCTTCCTCCTCAGGAGCAGTATCTTGCACTTGTCCATATGGGGGTTTGGTGGACCAGCAGCTGGGCTTTCCCTAGGGCTGTGCTGGGAACTATATAGAAGATCATTTAGGTCCAGAAGGATCTGGTTTTGTTGGACCTGAGTTAAGTTAGACTACCTCAGAGGTACACACTCAACTTAGATTGGGTGGCTATTTCTAGACAGATCTAACTGTCTTGAACTTTTGTATAGTCCACACATAGCTCCACCTATGTAGCATAAGGTCTGCACCTGGGCAAACTAAGTTAGATTGGGTGGCCATTTTTAATGTGAACTAACCTCTCCCTAATCTCTCTGAATGTCTGTATGCAGCCATACTGGTTGCTTTGTTTTAGTTCTGTATGCACTGTTAAAACAAATGTATGATAAAACTTAATTTCTGATTCCACTTCCAAGTAAAAGGACAGCTTTGCTAACACACGGTTGTTCTCTACAGATAAACATAAAGCTGAAGTCCAGACAACAATGTGCCACACTGTATAAGATGTTATAGGATTGACAGGGTGGGGTTATAGTTGGAGCTCGAGTGAGACTAATAATTCCATTTTGCCAGAACTTCTGAAGACTGTGAAACAATAAGAAAAACTTTAGAGCACATAAGTATCAAAAAGTCCAGTTTTTAATTGAAAAAGTCATGATGGTTTATTTATTTAAAGATCTCTTTTTCTGAAAGTTAGAGTAGGGTCCAATGTAGAGCTCAGAAACTTGAACATTAATAAAATCATGTTGACCTCAAAATTCCTTGACTTCAAAGAAGTATTTTTTTTTGACGAAAACTTTTACAAAATGTCTGAATCTGTTCTAGTTATGGCTGCTATGGGTGAAATTCTTCATAGAATAACTGGTCTTCACAAATTTGGAAAAAAAATGAAGAATGATGACTATGTACAAAGAAGAGGAATACTCAAATATTTGAAGACTGCCCCAGGAGCAAATATTAGTATAAAAAAGGGCATAAAAATCAAGAATAAACTATGGAGACAAGGGGGAGAGCCAAAACAAAAACATGGGGAGGTCGGGGTGGGGCACTTGGGTAGGAAAGAGTAAAAATCTGCAGAAAGCAATTTAGTATTAAAGTTAAGATTTTTGTAATTTTACTTTTAAATCTTGCTTTCAGCATGTGTTCAAGGCAAAAACATTAAGGAGATAATTAACAAGGAAGAAATAGTTAACTGCAAAAAGGACATTTAAAATATACAACTGTGAGCTGTTCCTCTCAATACCAAACAAACGCAATTAAGCAAAAACAGAAAGAAATACCGATGTAGAAAATAGACGTATTAATAGAAAAAAGCCATACATTTGAGCATGATTTGTCATAGATTTCTTTAAGCAAAAATTTATTCAATTCACCCTTTGTGTAAGACTAAGTGGATTTGCAGTTAACAGTAATCTAAAATATGTTACCTGCTATACTGTGCACTCACTGAAACTATTACTGATAACTAATAATGCCACAATTTTTGAAAGGATGTGGGCAAATGGTTTTCATGCATTTTTACTTCAGTTGTGGAATTTGTTAAAATAAAAGTTTTCTGCTTCTTGGAGGTAAATTTCTTAAAACCACATAATTATGATCTTTTAGGGAACCTACTGGAAACACTAGCCACAAAATTGTAAGTATATGTCAGGAGCAGAAGAATCCCTACATACTGCTTGCAAATTTTATTTTCTCAACTCCATTGCTATATTCTCCCAAATGATGTACAATTTAATCTAATAAATCTCTATTAGAAATATAATCAGTGTTACATTTTAAGGTGAAGGAGACATTGTGTGATTAAAGTATTTAAACATGGATCAAATCTAACTGAAACAAAGAGCTAACTTGACCCATTCAGAATTTTTTTTTTTAAAAGATTGGACATGCCATTTTTAGCAAACTGTTTAGCTGACAGATCACAGCAACACACCATGAAACTGACAAATTGTAAGCGTCAGACCTTAATCTTGGACCTCCTACACAAGCACCCAGTCACAAACTCCAGTTCCAACATGATACGTTGTAGTTTTAGCGCTTACCTGCTGTTTTGAGCACTCGTAGAGGTTTATGACTTAACAAGATGTCCTGTCGAATACGTTTTGCAGATACAGGCTCTTGCTGGCTACTTAATCCAGTGTTTGATGTAGAACTTGGGGAGGAGGAGGGAGGAAGGCAGAGAGTTTGTTTTTAGTCTACTCACTGTATTTTGGTAGTTCAGAACTTACATTCTAAAAATGCATTACATGGCATTATCTAGTATTAGCTGGTTCATAAAAAAGAAAGCAAATAAACTCAGTACTCTTTCTGGTGACCCCAAATATTAATTTCAACTTTTTCTTTTTTTTTCTTTTGCATAATTAGTGGGGGTGGATAGAGGGAGTGGCAATCACTTCACAGCTAAACTGCAGAAACAGCTAAATGGTTAGAAAGTGATGATAGATATGAATTTACTAGAAGAAAACCTCTGTATTTTTATAACATTTTAACAGAGATTTAAAGAATAAAAATGAGCTGCAGTGAACATGATTAAGTTATCGGTGACCTCACACTCCCACCACTTATCTTGTTCGTCCTTCACTATTCCATTTTACAAGATAGCCATCCTATCAAAAGGGAATAAAAATAAAATAAAAATCCCACAAATCAAAATGTCCTTATATTTCTTGTTTTTCTAACATAATTTTGTAGCACTCCAGTTTAAACATACTGCTCTTATTAAAAAACTTATGGTCTACTTCACAGGTCAATAACATGTGGCTTGTGGTTTGGGTCTGGCCCACAGAGCTGGGGGTCCCCATGGAATTGGGGGTTGGCAGCAGGGATGAACAAGTGCCAGGACTACTTGGTGAGAATCTGCATTGGGTTTGGGGGCCAGGAGAATGGGAGCTATACCCATGTTGCAGCTAGAAGGGCAGGTATAAGGGTGTATGGAGCTGGGTTGGTCTTACTCATGTCTCTGAAAACTTGCGGACCACTGGTCTACTCGCATGAACTAGGAAAAATGACTAAAGCTCTGACCTCTTTTTCTATCATTACCAAGGCCTTTTCCCCACTGCAGCTACACTGGAGTGGGAGAGCAACAGATTTTTCAGTAGGACAGTCTTCCCTGGTACTAGGAATAACTAGTGACCAAGCTTAGGTAGGGAGAGTGAAGGGGAGCTATGGCTAAGGTTTAGATTTTGTGGTTTGAAGTTGGAATGAAGAGAGGGTAAACTGGCTGAAAAATAAGAAGCATTACTTATTCCATACACATAAACTGAGGTCTTGGTTTCTTTTCTCCCTGTACGCCCTACAGAGAGAGAAAAAAAGAGTGGTGAGGGAAGAGGATGTCTGATTTGATTTCAGGAATGAGAGCAACCATTGTGGTCAGATAGAACAAGGGTCTAGGGATTCCTTTAGAGTTATCCTGGCATAGGAGATGTGGAAAAGGGTGAGTATTTTTGGGTGTGGATGAGTAGTGTTTAGAGCAGAAGACACCGGAGCACTTCTGTTTCACTGTAGCTTTTATTGCTATAGTACTTATGTCTAAGTTAAGGAAATAATGATTTGGAAACAAGAAAGGGTTATTCTGTACATTGCTAGCATTAGCCTCTTAACCATAGGATTTAGTGAGCAATTCTGTAGAGAACAGAGCCATATTTGTACTCTGAGATATCCAGTTATTTTTCCTTAAGAATGTCATATGGTTTTGATGAAATGCCAGTGGTTGGCTGATTTGTTTGGCTTAACCAAAGCTGGCCTTATGGGTGGTTGACTGCCCAGGATTCTGTGGTCAGGGGGGCACCATATGCACACACAGGTGCCACCACTCATACCTACGTGAGCAGCCTGTGCATATAGCAGCACTCTCAACCCGCCCAAGGCAGGAGGAGCAATACCCAAGACCTCCTCTTACAGGAGTCCATGAGTTTGAATATATGATAACTATTATATAATAAGTTGAATATATGATAACTATTAGATAATAGGAGTGCTGTCAAATACACATCTTGTAGGTAACAGTAGTTTTCAGTGTTTTCTGGAACAGCAGGTACAAACTTCTCAGAGCAAGTTGATTTTCAAATTAATGACTGAATTGCTCCTTTTAAATCAGAAGTCATCTTCCCACATACAGGACAAAGGAGTCATAGACAATAAAACTTTAGTTTGTATTTTCTGGTTCTACTGAAACTAAACAAAAAAGCACATAAAATGTCTTAGAAAATATTCCATGTAAACCGGTAAGAGTAATATTTAATCAGAGTTATAAAATATTTTTGGATCATATTAATCCCTCTGGATACAGATAACTTGATAACAACTTTTTTACAATTGGAAAAATGTAACATCACAATTGAGGTGAAAGCCAGTAGATAGTACAAGAGACCGTTTTAAACAATACCTTAATAACTTTCTTTTTCTTTCTGCGGCAGAAGTCATTGCCATGTATGATGGCTTTTCATGTATTGGACCAGGATTTCTTTTTAGCAATGAAGGGAGACCAAGTCTGAAATTAAAATAAGATATATTATGAAAAATATACCATAGGTAAAATAAATGCTGCTCCCCCCACAGTTGAAAAATCACCTGGGTAGTACAATAGACAAATCTATATGGTCTGTTTTTTTATTAGAAAAATATATATATTAAATATAAAGACTAAATCTTTTCTTTTGAAAGCCCAAATATTGTATTCTAATACTAGCAGTCAATATTTAGTTGGAAGTTTTCATTAGGATATAATGAAACGTTTTAGAGGAAGAAAAATATTTTTTGCCTTTTATAGATTGGAGACCCTAGGCTCAGAGAAATTGAGAATCTTGATTGTCTACACAAAAGAACAAGGAATAGAATTCAGTAATTATTTTCTCTCTCTTGAACTATACCATCTGTTGATACTAAGTGGCACAATAAACTTATTTTGCATTTTGTTTTAATGTCTTGCCAATATAGGTGGAGATTTTAAGAAGCATCAAGTATTGCCTAGCTCTGCTTCCACTGAAGTGCTGTTTGACTGCAAGAACAGCAGAATTAAGACTAATATAATACTGAGAATTCTTAACTATCAACCTCCTTCGTTTACTGTTAGAAATAAAATCAACATAACTAAAATGGACTAACTGCATTAAAAGAAAATTTAAAATGGCTAGAAAAAGAGGAAAAGGTAAAAAGAAGGTCATAGAATCACAGAAAAGTAGGGCTGGAAGGGACTTCATGCGATCATCTAGTCCAGCCCTCTGCTCAAGGCAGGATCAACCAAAATAAACCTTCCTAGCCACAGATCTGTCCAGCCTTGTGCCCATGAACAGAATATACCTTTGCAAAACACTGCTATTACTGCATGACTGTGACTCCTTTTCAGACAGCATAGTAGAAGCATCATTTATTTCAGTTGTGCCTCTATAGAGAGTTACTGTTGAGTTCATGTCCACTTCTTCACATTCGGATACGTGAAATGTAGAATTCATGTTACATACTCTTTTCAAAGGAACATTAACGTCTTCAGCATTACATGTGTTCTTTTTCCTGGCACCTGGTACCTGTAATGACTGCTTTACTATAGTCCACGTGCAGGGGTTTTGCTCAAGTTTTCTGCAAGCTTCTGGTGTATATACAATAGGACGAATCTCCTTGCTGAGAGAATCCTCCAGCTGATTAAGGCTAGACTGTTGGGATGCTTTAGGGCTTTGAGATGTGGTCGGAGAATCCATTAGCTTCCGCCTTGTTCTTTTTTGTAGAGGGCCTACACATTCTGTTGCAAGTTGCACATTATTCTTCACTTCTGGAGATGTACCTGTTTAACACAATTAATGCTGGTTAGGTTTATCTAAAAACTGTTCATCGAAGAATAACTTTCCCCCCACTACTTTTCACTACTTTTTTTTAAGTAGTGAAATCAATATCATTTTGTTCCCTCTGCCTGCTCTACCAAAAATATATTCTCAAGCAGGGAAAAAGTTGCTAGAAATAAGGTGTTACATGAACAAATCGACATGTAAAGTAAATTATTTCTATTGCATCAGTATTTGTATAAACATTGGAATAATAGTAAAATACATAAATAGATAAGACAACCCCCCAATCCTAAATGTCTACTAAAATGCCTTTAAAATGACAAAGAAAGTATATAGCACCATGGAGGACATTGTTGATTACATCCACACTGAAATACATATTACTTGTACGGAATTTTATGACAATTATTGCATTGTTAAAAAAACACCAGTGAGTGAAGAGAAGGTAGAAGAATCTATCCAAGAGCATTTAAAGTACCTGGATAATTTATAACGCAAGTCATACAATTCTCCCATTACAAGCTGAAGCTAATTCTTATAGAGATGAAACAAAATTATTTAAAATTAGACCTATAACGGGACTGGCTTCACTTTAATTTGCAGTCTTGCTTGGCATTTCCTTTCTGTTCTACCTACTTATTTCTAATTAACAAATGGATATTGAGTTGTAAAAGGAACACAGGTTTACAAGTTGTGGCGAGAAGATTGTTCAGGAATAAATTTGGGATGTTAAACTGCTGTATTCATTTAGATGCAAATAAACTTGCATCAGCAAGTAAGAGAAAAATTGCATGGAAAATTTAGAAAAAAGTTAATGTTGAATATATATATTGAAGCATTCCTCAACTTTAGTTCTCTCAAACACATACATACAAAGCTATGACTTTCAGCAGCTCCAAAAGTGTGATGGTACAATAATTTTTAACAAGTTTACCAAAATAACTTTTGTTAGAGAATTACACAGTACACAATCAATAAATACAAGCCCAAAGAGTACAGTTTTTGTTTACTCATTTTAGTTTAACACTATTGCTTAGCCATAATTAAAGTTATTCACAATACTTTTTGGGGGGTATCACTGGGGAGGGCAATGGTGGCAATCATTGTTATGTTTTGCTTCACAGTTGTGGGATTTTTGTTTTTAAACATACAGAATTAATCAGAATCACCTTTGAAAAAAATACATTTCCCCATTTATCTTTTATAGTTGGACTGTGGCAAAGAGCAATTTTTCCTCAAAGGTCATTGATATAAAATAGGAAAGGGACTCAGTTCATTTGTTTATAAACTGCTTTCAATAGATGCTCCTGCAAACATCACCTACCATGCTAATTACTGGTATTGTTTGCTGCCACGTCTAGTTTCTCATTTTATGTAAGATGCAGTTAAATAACACCAATTATTTTTTTTTATTCCAACTATTTTCTCTCTGCCCATCACAACTAAGCACTAGGATTAGCACTGCCATTTAAAGGTTTTTGGACAGTTTATATTCTGAACTCTAACAATAAGCTTTATTCAGTTAATCCAGTTTTAGTCTTTGAAACAACTATCCACTAAACATTTTAGGACACATTTTTAAATATTAATTTAGAAAGCTTTTCTGCAGCTTATATGCATCTGAAAATTTTTGTTTCAGGAAAAAGCTGTGAGTGTTTAGTGTTCTGTCTGTTGATATATTATGACAAGGAGGTTCTGGTTTCAGAAAGTTTGTTTACTGTAAGACATTGGGATTTTGCTAATGTCCTGAGTGACTAAAAATGAAGTCTGGATAGATAAACATTTTGTTGAGCGAGTCAAATTTTAGAAGCACTGAAACCACTTTTAAATTAACCATGAATACAAACATTTAAACCATAAACTAGATAGGTAGAGAACACAGAAGTATTGACAACATTAATAATTTTTGAATTTCATCACAATAAGTAATGTTTAATATGCAGTACATTAATAATAAGCAGATTTCAGGAATTTTATGTAGTGCAACTATAAACCACTAGTAAAAACCCTAGGCCTTTAAAAAGAAGTCTACTTAGCAGTAGAATACAATTCATATCAACGAACTAGTTAAAATAAAATTAGTGTATCCTTTTACTAAGGTGTGGTTAGTGAGATGACTTTTATTTCTGGTATCTCCACAAAGACGGTTATAAAAGCATCAGTTAAACAGGCAAAGTTTTAAATTCTCTCAGAATCCCTGTTTTCAGATTCTTTCCAAAGAACATCTCTTACAATGTTGGTTTTCTTATCCATCTACACAGATAAAGCTCCTGTCCAAGAGGTGAGAGTGGTATGGGTACTGATTAATAGGTACTGGTTAATGATACTGAGAAGCCTCTTAGGTACCTCCACAGGTGGGTTTTCAAGGTCAATAAGATGGCCATATTTAGGGTCAAGAAGAAATTTTCTGCCAGGTTAGATTGGCCGCTGGGTTTTCTTGCCTTTCACTGTAGTATGGGTAGGTTTGGCAGGTTGAAATTTTTATTGATAAGCAATGATAAATTATTTCACCTGACACTCACAGACTGAAAGAAAATCATTTCTGTTGGTAGTCACCAAAAACTATAGAAAGGGGACATTAAAAAAAAATCTGGGAAAGGGATAAGGAAATGTGGGGCAGAGAGCACCACACACACACGGAAGCCACTGCAGGCAGCATGCAAGGAGTCCTGGCTGTGCTGCTTGCACACTGCTCCTATGGCAGTGGCTTGTGCAGTCACTGGGAGTTGTGCTGGTAGGCAGGATTTGAGGGGCAGGGCTTTTGGCAGCCAGGAACCCAGTGCTGCCACCTGCTCTCTCTGCCCATGTCCCAGCTGGGGATCAGGCACTAAAATCCTGCCATACCTGGCCTGGCCCTTGCATGATTGGGGCAGGGGTCAACTCCTGCCAAACCTGGACCAGCCCCTGTGTTATCAGATATGCAAGATATTTACTTTTTATATTTTAACATGTGATTTTATAATGATTTTAACAGTACACTGTTACTACTAAATTGTCTGGCCCCCACATCTCTAATTTCATGCAATCCTGAACATTTAAACTGATAAAAATTGATTAAAAAAAAAAAAAAAAGAAATGCTTAAAAGCAAACAAACAAGATTCTTTGGGTGAATCCGATGTCTTCAGGGGGCCGGACCTGATGATGTTTAGGTCCCTTCCAACTGTAAGTACTATGATACTATGATCTTTTATTAGACCAACTTAAATAGTTGGAAAAAAAATTTCTTAGCAACCTTTCAGGTATAAAAACCCTTTGTCAGGCTGAGGAAGCCTCTGCAGTTGGTGTGTGCTCTTCCTGGATGGAATGAATACTAAAGAAGCCAGAGGCTGGGCTGGTATGCATGCAAGACAGGCAGAACTAAGAATTTTTTTTCCAACTATTTCAGTTGGTCTAATAAAATATATCAGATTCACCCAAAGAACCTTGTCTGCCTATGTCCTTAGATGAACATGGCTACAACCTATACCCTTAAAAATAAACATTGATTTTAGCAATCAAAATTAAAAAAAAAAAAAAAAAATTCTGCCAAGGCTGAGTATGAGGGGGGATGATCTACTTCCTGGGATCACATGGGTACATTTTATCTAGTATATTCTAAATTGGTAAATTTCCTAAACTCCCTGTGGCGCACAGTGGATTCTCTTTTACTGGTGGCTTTCTAACTGTGGTGTGCAAGAAGGACTATAATGGACTTTTCTGTGGACAAATGGTAGCTGGAAAACAAAGCAACTGGGATTGATAGACAGGGAGATCCGTTCAAATCCTATTGCAATTGAGCTCAAGGGAAACATGCCTTTTATAGCAACTGTTGCTACAAAGAACATCATGTTCCCCATAGTGTTCAACTGAATAGAAACCATCTCAGCAATGCAGGGCATATACCTTGACTTATATGCAGTCTTTCAGGGAGCATACCCTTTTTAGGGATAAGCCCTAGTTCTTTACTTAGTTTTCAGAATTTCAGGGTCTGCTAGTCCAAGACTCTGTTTTTTTCTCCTTAACTAAGACTCCCCCAACATACAGGTGCACTTCCACTTCATCTCATCTCAACAGTCTAGTAAGTTTTCCTTGAAATTGCCAGGCATGCAACACCAGGGAGATTCTCTGGTTACTTGTTTACTCTTGGCAATCTAGATAAAATGGGATTTTTGCTGTTTAGACAAGCCCATGAAGACTGTCATTGTATTTGTAAAGTGCTATCAACTTCTCTTTGGGTTGAGCATAGCATGGGATGCTTTAAGGTAAGAACTTTGATGTTCTCTGCAACACTATCTCATGGAGAACTTTCCTCCTGCGGATTAAGATCAAGCACTACTGGAAGGTATTTGGTTGTGTTCTGGAAATATAAGTACAGTGACAGCTTGCCTGTTTGGGAAAATATATAGGGACATTAATTTGAATAAAGAACAATTTACTGCAAAGATTTTCAAAGGAGACATTTCTGCACACAGTACTCTGTATTAGCATTAGCATGGCTAGAAAATGAGAATCTTAGAATATCATTAACTAAAAAATAGAAAGTTCACAAATGAGAAAACTGCAGTTGAAACCTAAGTACTAAAGTAAAAAAAAGTATAACAATGAATGCAGGTCTTTTCTTTGGAAAGACTCAGTTACATGGCTCTCAGCAACCCCAGAGGTTACCACATGTCTTCATTAAACATTTTTTACAGTTATGATACTTTATAGTGCACGTCTTATTTTGGTACAGCTGGCTGATAATGGGAGTATTGTGTTGCTAAGACTGAAGTCTGTTTGCTCATTTTTAAATAGCAGTTTACTCAGTTCAATGCAAGTTGTTGATGAATCTTTCAATATGTAATTGTGACAATTTGAAGAATATATCTAGTTATAATTAATTTACTCTAGCTCATGCTATAGAAAATGTTACATCATGAAATGCCTCAGTGTGTATAGAACCCACCATATAGTGAGCATGGTATCTCCAATACGCTCAACTGGGACACTGGTGATTTTTAAGCCTTAATGAGTAGTTGC